TAAATTATTTAAAAAAAAAAAAAAAGATAAAAATGTACAACAACAACAACAACAACAACGTATCGTGCAGTCGCACGATATATTTTCGAGTTCCTACGGGAATAAACTGCCGGAGCCTCATTAATATACATATAAACAAAGCCATCACAAGTGCAAGCATAAATAGCAAAATATAATATGATCTCGAGGCAAATGATACTTTAAGCTCTTAGGTAAGAAGAATTTTGCGATGTATGATCACTTTATAGTTCTAAGATAATAAACGGAAGAACATATTAAAAAAAATAATAATAATAATAAAAAAATAATACGAATATAGTCGATTTTTGAAGGTTCACGATTATCGAGTTGGATGATAAGTAACAAAAAAAGAAAAAATAAAAAAAAATAAAAAAAAAATAAAAAATAAGGACAAATGTATAAGTAAATAAAGATGGAGCCAATTTTCACGGGGCCAAAATGGCGTAACGATGTATCATTTTTTCATGATATCATCGACATTTGTCCCCACCCCGCGAGAAGCTAGGATAATACAATCCTTCTCTCTTCGCGTTCATTGTTTATTCCTCGACTAATATGTAGCGTGTAAATTTCTTTGTAATATACCTTTTTTTGTGATACTTTTATGCGGCTATGTGGTAACGTCCAATTCGTATGTATTACCTGTCGTGGAATAAATTTTTATTAAAGGAATGCAACTTGTCCGCATTTTCTGCTCAAGATTTCTGCAAAAGATTCTCCCGGCGGGAAAAAAAATTGCGTCGTGCCGCAACGAGAATGTTCTTTTTCTCTGTTTCTGTCCACGTGTTTTCATTTTTCACCTCGTGACGTAATTCTAGGTCTCGTTCACGATCGTGTTTCTCTTCTTTCGAAAGTATTATCATGTGTTAAAGTGCGTATATATATATATATATATACATATTATTAATACAAATCTTATCTTCTACTACAGATTTGTCAAGGCACGAGATAGTAAGTTACATAAATATAGAATTTCATCATAACTTACTTTTATTTCTACGTACTTTAACATGTTTAAAGAAATGCCACAAGTTTCATCGTTCGTCGCATCAGATTTTAAAGAAATATAAATGTTTGCATGAATATCTCATTATATTTATCTTCAATTTCAATATAGTACTTGTGTTTCGAAACGTAAGAAGTTTGCATCGCGAGCATCAAGATCCATCCTTATCATTTATATATTTCGATTAGATTAAATCTTTGCTAAAGAATTCGAAAATTCTTATAAAACAGGAAGAAAAAGAAAAAGAATTCCTTGCCTCGACAGCGTACTCGTCCCTTGTCGGCCATCGATATCACGCTGGATTAATCAAAGTCTACGATTTGATACGTTGAAACTACATATACGGAATACAAATCAGAACAAATCATACACGTTCTATTTCCAGAACGAGAGCAACATCATTATTGATTGATACGTAATGATTTCTGTGAAAATTAATGAAAGTAAAATAACCAATAATGGTATTATTCTTCAACAATAACCGCTTCGACGTTGTCTTAAATTTCAAGAAAATCGCGGGTCACACGTTCGTATATATTTCGCAAAACCACTCATAGCCACGATCTTCAAGTCCAAGGAAATTCTTTTCGCTTCTATTTTTACGGAGGTCAATTCAATTCGAATTTAATTGAACCAGATAATACCATCAATGTCAATCCATAAAACGAACAAGTTTACTCAACGCAAACAAATATTTGCAAACCGTTTGTGTTAATTCAGTCTTGTCAGGATCTCATTACAACCCTTTTACCATCCTTCTTCCTTATGGACGATACTTTCAAAGTTGAAAGAATGCGAATGACAAGGGTTAAATAGGGTGGAAAGTACGGTACGAAAAACTCGTCACTGTTTCAACATATTTCTCGAGCCTAGCCTTATTTGCTTTCTCCACTCGGCCTCGGTTAACAAACTTACCCTTTAGCCCAGGCTTCCTCGTTAACTATGTCTACTCGCTTTCCTCGCGTATATCATTTAACTTAACATCACCACTTGATGTACACATACGGAATGTAGATCACCGGAACGAACTTCTTCTTCTTCTTCTTCTTCTTCTTCTAAGAAATTAAATGTTAAGAAAATATCAAGTATTTCGTGAATATAATAATTTTATTATTTTCGAGAAGATTAAAAACCATCCCAATTGAACTGTTACTCGATTTCACCGTTCACCTTTATATTCGTGCAATCTACATCTAATATATATATATACATATATTAATAAATATTAATATTATAAATATATATATTAATAAATTTCTAAGTAAATCAGAAAATATTTCGAGAAATGATTCTCCGCTATTTTAATCGATCACCAATTGAGTCCTCTGTTTCCATTTACGCCGTCGATCTTTGTATGTACATCGAATATTTACAAACACGTAACGACATATTCCGCATGTCTGTAAGAAATCGACTCTCACTAATCTCTCGTTAATCCTTAAATTAACTCGATAATTAACTCGATTAACTCGAATTTTTTTGTTTATCAACGTTTTTCGTCCGTGATAACCAAAGTGTTCACAGGTTGAACTGCCTTGCTCTTCTCGCAACTGGTTTCCTGACTTTTCTTTAAGTGTACATGCCCGATCGCCGTGTCCGGCCTTCCTCTAAGACTTCGCAGCATGTAACAACGACGATGAGGGCTATGCCTTGTGTAAAAGCTGTCGCAGCTGGTCGTGGTCGTTCGTCGAAGGGTTAAAACGGCGTGATGGCCACCGATCGGCAATCCACATCCAGGTAACATTTTTTGCTTGCGAAGTAAGCTTCGTCTTATCGTGCCACTGGCACTGCCTGCGCACATATCATCGATCACTCCAGTCCCTTGAGCACCCTGGAACAATAGATCAAAACCACTAGAGGCGGTAGGAC